ATACACTGTACAGCAGTACACAGTAAGTAACCTGATGGTACACTGTACAAACACTACACAGTTAGTAACCTGATGGTACACTGTACAAACACTACATGGTAAGTAACCTGATGGTACACTGTACAAACACTATGCAGTAAGTAACCTGATGGTACACTTTACAGCAGTACACAGTAAGTAACCTGATGGTACACTGTACATACACTATGCAGTAAGTAACCTGATGGTACACTGTACAGCAGTACACGGTAAGTAACCTGATGGTACACTGTAGAAACACTACACGGTAAGTAACCTGATGGTACACTGTACAGCAGTACACGGTAAGTAACCTGATGGTACACTGTAGAAACACTACACGGTAAGTAACCTGATGGTACACTGTACAAACACTATGCAGTAAGTAGCCTGATGGTACACTGTACAGCAGTACACAGTAGGTAACCTGATGGTACACTGTACAAACACTACAGGGTAAGTAACCTGATGGGACACTGTACAAACACTACACAGTAAGTAACCTGATTGTACACTGTACAAACACTACACAGTAAGTAATCTGATGGTACACTGTACAAGCACAACACGGTAAGTACCCTGATGGTACACTGTACAAACACTACATGGGAAGTAACCTGATGGTACACTGTACAAACACTCCACAGTAAGTAATCTGATGGTACACTGTACAAACACTACACAGTAAGTAATCTGATGGTACACTGTACAAACACTACACAGTAAGTAACCTGATGGTACACTGTACAGCAGTACACAGTAAGTAACCTGATGGTACACTGTACAAACACTATGCAGTAAGTAACCTGATGGTACACTGTACAGCAGTACACAGTAAGTAACCTGATGGTATAGTTTCATTGGTTACTCCTCAGGGGTTTTGCAAAACATTTTGAGAAGTAATATTCCTTTAATCTAAATTGGAATTTTGTTTCTTGTAGAATACAAGGAAAAAATTTGTCAAAGAATAAAGATATCTTCATTTTGGGAACAAGTTTCATTTTTCCACACAATATTCTTTTTAAAGAATAAAATTACAAAAATTTCTATGAAACTTTCTAATATTCAAGACATAATTTAGTAAGTTATTAAATTGGCTTAGATTCATCACATTTGAGTTTTAACTTCTGTCCCAGTTACCCGTCACATTTTAGCATGAAAGTAGGTTTCTCCTGCCATCTTTGTCAGAAACAGTCTATAGTCACAGAACTTTATGATGAAGCACAAGATTTGCAGAATGCATTTCTTCATTTGATGTAAAAAGAAATTGACCAATTGTAAGAAAACCCAAAAATGTAAACCATACCCTAAAAAGTTTGTTTTTTTCCAAAATGAGGGAAAAAAATATGGATATCTTCCTAATCTCAATAAAAGAAATAATGCTGTGTTGTCATAATTCATGTGGGAACATGCTGTTGTAAAACTGAAGACGAAAAAGCACTAGTTACAGTGAGTGTGGTCACAGTGATCAAGGGGCTTAGACAGGTGAAATGACCTTTGACCTTTTATGACATTGATTTTTCTGTGGTATTCAGGATTTGGCGGCTACTATATCCCTGGAGCTTGTGGAGTGTTGTGGGCAGTATGATCCTCAGGCATGCTCTATGTTCCTGGCCTTGTACCAGGTAAGTTCCTAAGAAAATTCTCCCAATACTGTTTTTCACATCATATTACAGGTAATAATTAGAAATGATTCTATGAGAACAGATTTATATATAGCTGAAATTCAGTTATACCCATAATATAGAGTTCCACGGAATGCTGCATACATGTATCGGGTCAGGGAGATTTTTGTTATGACAATTTGGTGCTGCTACTGGGTTGATAGTGTTAAACCTATGAGTGATGTCTGATGATTATATTTTTGACCTCCACAGAGTTGTCGTACTTCTTTAAATCTGGAAACACTTCTGAACAAGGCCCAGGTTGACCCCATGACATCTCGCCTGGCTGCACTCCTTCACCAGCGGTCAAATATCCTGGAAAATGACATCAGCACAAATATGTCCAGTGGCAGCCTTATGACCACTGTCCAGACATCTCTGGAACAGAACTGGCAGGTAAGAGGCCAGCAGGCTGTGATTGGTCAAACGATGAGAACAATTACAGAACCGGACTGTTTTATAATCATCCAAATAAATCAAGGCAAAGGTGAAATATTGTCTACCATTTCAAACATAAAAATCAGACACATGTTATGACTTGTATTACTAAAAAAAATGTAAAAAGTTGGATTATGAATAGCAGGTTATAGGTGAAATATTGGGTAAAAGCATATTATGAGAATCTTAAAAAGCTATAGATATTGTTAACAATGAAATAAAGTTTAAAATGAAATATGTAACTAAACAATAGCTCCTAGTTAGACGCATTGAGTTCAGCATCAGTATCTATGGGATGTAGGCATGGAAGAGACTAGAGGTGATGCCCAACCATCTGGATCTGATGAAGGAGTTCCCAGCCAACTTCAACTTCATCATCCTCCAGCATTCCCCCGACAAGTACGTAGGATTCTTTACACACTGCAGGCGTACAAATCGTCGTTTTTTTACGTATTTTTCCTACGTTTCCTCAATGTTTTAAAGTATACAGTACACAGAAGAGTAAAATCCTTGGGACCTTAATCTAACAGTGTTAACAATGATATATTTTAACATTGGAGTAAAAGTTTGGCTACTGTCAAGGAGTACATGCTAAATGCACCTTTGTTTAAATATTTTAACTGTAGTGATTTCTGATCTATTCCTTAATGTACATCAAAATCTTTTGATTTTAAAGGAAAAATCTTAGGTCTTCTATTTATTAGGTTATCATAAAGAGCTTAAATCAGGAGCAAAAATTAATGACATATTTTGGAAGTGATTGACCTTCTCATTGATTTGTTATTATGTTTCAGAAATTTCCTGTATGGTGCTATTCTAGACAAGCCTAAGAATTCCCCAGTGGCTGGAGGAGGCAAGAATCCAAAGACGACCGCACTACCAGGTAAGGCCTTCATACACAACTAGTGTTCTACCCTAATCATACAACACATCAGGTCAGGACTTCATACACAACTAGTGTTCTACCCTAATCATACAACACACCAGGTCAGGACTTCATACACAACTAGTGTTCTACCCTAATCATACAACACACCAGGTCAGGACTTCATACACAACTAGTGTTCTACCCTAATCATACAACACACCAGGTCAGGACTTCATACACAACTAGTGTTCTACCCTAATCATACAACACACCAGGTCAGGACTTCATACACAACTAGTGTTCTACCCTAATCATACAACACACCAGGTCAGGACTTCATACACAACTAGTGTTCTACCCTAATCATACAACACACCAGGTCAGGACTTCATACACAACTAGTGTTCTACCCTAATCATACAACACACCAGGTCAGGACTTCATACACAACTAGTGTTCTACCCTAATCATACAACACACCAGGTCAGGACTTCATACACAACTAGTGTTCTACCCTAATCATACAACACACCAGGTCAGGACTTCATACACAACTAGTGTTCTACCCTAATCATACAACACACCAGGTCAGGACTTCATACACAACTAGTGTTCTACCCTAATCATACAACACACCAGGTCAGGACTTCATACACAACTAGTGTTCTACCCTAATCATACAACACACCAGGTCAGGACTTCATACACAACTAGTGTTCTACCCTAATCATACAACACACCAGGTCAGGACTTCATACACAACTAGTGTTCTACCCTAATCATACAACACACCAGGTCAGGACTTCATACACAACTAGTGTTCTACCCTAATCATACAACACCCCAGGTCAGGACTTCATACACAACTAGTGTTCTACCCTAATCATACAACACACCAGGTCAGGACTTCATACACAACTAGTGTTCTACCCTAATAATAAAACACACCCCAGGTCAAGACTTCATACACAACTAGTGTTCTACCCTAATCATACAACACACCAGGTCAGGACTTCATACACATCTAGTGTTCTACCCTAATCATACAACATATAGAGTATATACATTACACTATAACCCTATTATATGTAGTATAAACAAAGACAACCGCACCACCAGGTGAGGCCTGCACACACAAGTGTTCTACCCTAATCATACAACATATATATATAGAGTACAATACTGTAGACTTAACTGATACTAATAACGATCCACTACTATGTATCATAAGTATACAGAACAGGTATGCTATACACAAATACATCTTGTGGAAAACTATTCAGTTATCTGAGTGTATGTTTCATGCTAAAAAACACTTTACTTTGGAGATCTGTAAATTTCATTCTAAAAAAATAGTAAAATCAGGAATTTTGTCTTTTCCTGTAGTCTTTTCTATCTATCAACACCTTGTCTTTGTCTCCTTGACAGGATAAGTCTCTGCTATGTTATTCAGTATGACCTTGTAAGACCTTTATGCTGGTCACTATAAAGAGTATACTTGTCACTGATTCAATCAACGGTGTTTACCTCCCCTGAAACAGCGGCCAGCAGAGCTAAGGTGTTTGGTATCTCGGTGAACCCTGAAATGCTGGAATCTCTGCTGACTAAATTTGCTGACCACCGCCAGGCCATACAAGCACTGCTCCTCAAGCAGGAATATGCCCGCGCCCAGGCGATGATGAGACAGAGGATGTTGGAGAACCTTGATGAGAGTCTCAAACAGAAAACACAGGTTTGTAGAATAGAACACCTAACACAGGTTTTTCTTCTTAAATCTTGATAGGTTAAACCATGGACTATTTGTCTTACAAATAGAGAAGATCAATATAAGTAAAATGATTCTCTCTCATGAAAAAAAGATTTAGAGAAGGGCTGACCTGTTACTCTTGCTTTGTACAGACAAGTTTCATCTATTATGTTTCAGACCCTACATTTAGATGAGGATGCTGAGGAGGAGGCAATGTTGTTAGAAGAGTTCGACCAAATTATCAAGGACATGGAGTCATACCTTCAACCCATCACCACATTCCTACAGGGCATGCTTAAGTACGAAATCCAAATAAATAACCTTATAACATAGGAACAACTTCCCATACAACAAGCCAATATGATTCTGGTCTTGTTTGTTTTAATTTTACGAATCTATGTTTGCTCTATCGTAATAGAGGCTATTACTGTAGTAGAGTGTCACAGAGACAAATATCTTCATCCCTTGTGCTATGTGTTGGTTGTCCCCTACAGCCAATATTGTTAAATAATATTCATCATTTGGAAATCATTTACAGTTTAAAAAGATGAAAGTAGAATATTGCATGTTACTACAGAATTTCATATATCGGAGAAGTAGAATATTACATATCATTCTAGAATCTCATATCGCACTGGAAAAACATAATTTACATCAATTATTTATGAGCTATAATATGTTTACTGCAGTACCCAAGTGGTGACCCCTGCCAGTGGTAAGGAGGCTAAGAATGCCCCCGTGGAGCCTCCTCCAAGTATTGAGTGCGCTATCCTGCTGGCCGACACCTATCTTATGCAGCTCCCTCTGGAGGCCCTCGAGTTCCTACAGGTGGAGAATGTTGCATCCCTGTCCCGTGACTTTTCGATGCAGCTCTTCTATCACAGATTCTTCAAAGAGGAAGCAGCAGCTGCAGGTATGCTTACTGGTCTATATCCCAAGGGACTTACTCTCTTACTGGTCTATCTCTCAAGGGTACCTACTCTCTTACTGGTCTATCTCCCAAGGGACTTACTCTCTTACTGGTCCATCTCCCAAGGGTACCTACTCTCTTACTGGTCTATCTCTCGAGGGTACCTACTCTCTTACTGGTCTTTCTCCCGAGGGTACTTACTCTCTTACTGGTCTATCTCCCAAGGGACTTACTCTCTTACTGGTCTATCTCTCAAGGGTACCTACTCTCTTACTGGTCTATCTCCCAAGGGTACCTACTCTCTTACTGGTCTATCTCCCAAGGGTACCTACTCTCTTACTGGTCTATCTCCCAAGGGTACCTACTCTCTTACTGGTCTATCTCCCAAGGGTACCTACTCTCTTACTGGTCTATCTCCCAAGGGTACCTACTCTCTTACTGGTCTATCTCCCAAGGGTACCTACTCTCTTACTGGTCTATCTCCCAAGGGTACCTACTCTCTTACTGGTCTATCTCCCAAGGGTACCTACTCTCTTACTGGTCTATCTCCCAAGGGTACCTACTCTCTTACTGGTCTATCTCCCAAGGGTACCTACTCTCTTACTGGTCTATCTCCCAAGGGTACCTACTCTCTTACTGGTCTATCTCCCAAGGGTACCTACTCTCTTACTGGTCTATCTCCCAAGGGTACCTACTCTCTTACTGGTCTATCTCCCAAGGGTACCTACTCTCTTACTGGTCTATCTCCCAAGGGTACCTACTCTCTTACTGGTCTATCTCCCAAGGGTACCTACTCTCTTACTGGTCTATCTCCCAAGGGTACCTACTCTCTTACTGGTCTATCTCCCAAGGGTACCTACTCTCTTACTGGTCTATCTCCCAAGGGTACCTACTCTCTTACTGGTCTATCTCCCAAGGGTACCTACTCTCTTACTGGTCTATCTCCCAAGGGTACCTACTCTCTTACTGGTCTATCTCCCAAGGGTACCTACTCTCTTACTGGTCTATCTCCCAAGGGTACCTACTCTCTTACTGGTCTATCTCCCAAGGGTACCTACTCTCTTACTGGTCTATCTCCCAAGGGTACCTACTCTCTTACTGGTCTATCTCCCAAGGGTACCTACTCTCTTACTGGTCTATCTCCCAAGGGTACCTACTCTCTTACTGGTCTATCTCCCAAGGGTACCTACTCTCTTACTGGTCTATCTCCCAAGGGTACCTACTCTCTTACTGGTCTATCTCCCAAGGGTACCTACTCTCTTACTGGTCTATCTCCCAAGGGTACCTACTCTCTTACTGGTCTATCTCCCAAGGGTACCTACTCTCTTACTGGTCTATCTCCCAAGGGTACCTACTCTCTTACTGGTCTATCTCCCAAGGGTACCTACTCTCTTACTGGTCTATCTCCCAAGGGTACCTACTCTCTTACTGGTCTATCTCCCAAGGGTACCTACTCTCTTACTGGTCTATCTCCCAAGGGTACCTACTCTCTTACTGGTCTATCTCCCAAGGGTACCTACTCTCTTACTGGTCTATCTCCCAAGGGTACCTACTCTCTTACTGGTCTATCTCCCAAGGGTACCTACTCTCTTACTGGTCTATCTCCCAAGGGTACCTACTCTCTTACTGGTCTATCTCCCAAGGGTACCTACTCTCTTACTGGTCTATCTCCCAAGGGTACCTACTCTCTTACTGGTCTATCTCCCAAGGGTACCTACTCTCTTACTGGTCTATCTCCCAAGGGTACCTACTCTCTTACTGGTCTATCTCCCAAGGGTACCTACTCTCTTACTGGTCTATCTCCCAAGGGTACCTACTCTCTTACTGGTCTATCTCCCAAGGGTACCTACTCTCTTACTGGTCTATCTCCCAAGGGTACCTACTCTCTTACTGGTCTATCTCCCAAGGGTACCTACTCTCTTACTGGTCTATCTCCCAAGGGTACCTACTCTCTTACTGGTCTATCTCCCAAGGGTACCTACTCTCTTACTGGTCTATCTCCCAAGGGTACCTACTCTCTTACTGGTCTATCTCCCAAGGGTACCTACTCTCTTACTGGTCTATCTCCCAAGGGTACCTACTCTCTTACTGGTCTATCTCCCAAGGGTACCTACTCTCTTACTGGTCTATCTCCCAAGGGTACCTACTCTCTTACTGGTCTATCTCCCAAGGGTACCTACTCTCTTACTGGTCTATCTCCCGAGGGATTTACTCTCTTACTGGTCTATCTCCCAAGGGTACCTACTCTCTTACTGGTCTTTCTACCGAGGGTACCTACTCTCTTACTGGTCCATTTCCCAAGGGTACCCTACTCTCTTACTGGTCTATCTCCAAGGGCACCTATTCTCTTACTGGTCTATCTCCGGAGGGATTTACTCTCTTACTGGTCTATCTCCCAGGGGTACCTATTCTCTTACTGGTCTTTCTCCCAAGGGTACCTACTCTCTCACTGGTCTATCTCCCAAGGGTCTTACTCTCTTACTGGTCCATCTCCCAAGGGTACCTACTCTCTTACTGGTCTTTCTCCCGAGGGTACCTACTCTCTTACTGGTCCATTTCCCAAGGGTACCTACTTTCTTCACATAGGTTTAAAAAGAACAGATACATTGGCAGACTTTCACTTTTTCCGACTGCCATTGTTGCCTTTTACTGTGTCGACAGCTTGTAGATTTCCAACACAACAGAATCCTCCTTTTCCCTTGTTAAAGCTTGCCTAATTTTGTCTCCCCTCTGTAAGTTAAGATTCATTTATGTTATCTGATGGTTTCTATGAATGAATTATTTTGTATACATAATATATATTCCATAGGAATATTCATGCATTGCAAAATTTTTCGATACAGGCAAATCTAAAGGTAAGCTGAGCTCACCTAGCCTAGCTATTGTGGGTATATTCTTATACAGTATATTTAACATCTTTATCTCTTTACCTCCAAACCTTACAAGTTACCTCCTTTAGTACATTTTACACAATGTGGTAAAGTTATTGTTGTTCAACATCTGTGAGGTTTATTTTCTCAGACTATTCTTTTAAATATTGATCTATTCCAACTTTTATTTCATATTGATGGACTTTTTTTATCATTTATTGGCTGATGGGTCTTTAAATGAACATTTTTAAGGTAATCTGTTAACAACTAATGATTAAGGTGATTAATTGGAAATGGCCCAGTGATCATTTCCACCTGAGCAGCACTAAATGCCTCATTCATATTTAGCTCTTCAGACTACAGTCTGTTTTCTGGCAGTTTATTACCTAAAATTCAGAAAGAAGAAAAAAATCTGCCATTGTAAGTTAGCTATCAATTTGTTACCCAGAAGATGTGAACACTCATGATTGACCATGTGACCGTCACATGACTGGAATTATAGTCTGTAGCATAAAATGGAGCACACTGTGACTCAAGTTCAGTCCAGAGACAGTTTTCAAATTAAATATTCTGTTTATTGGACTGATGTGTGAGATATCGTTACTGGACTAGTGTGTTTATGTTTAAGCTAGTAGGTAATGTGTGCCAGGAAAGAATTTAATTTGCCACAAATCTTCTGTAAAAGATTTCATACAACTTATATCATTTTATGATTCAAGAAGCAGTCATTTTTTATTAAAATTTTTTTTATAAAAACTAGGTTACCTATGCATGGATCAGCTGATGCTTTCATTGTGTACTTCAAATAAGTAGAGCAAGAGAATGATAATTTGCTAAAATAGAATAGATTTACATGTATATTGCATTAATCTGTTCATTTATTTATTTCCATTGATTATACAAATTTTGCAATTTTATTGATTATGCTGTCTATAATTATGTTGAATTTGGATTAGTATAGAATGTTTTAGTGCCAGATCCATCAACCTGCTCATGGTAATCATTGACAAGTAAAAATTGACATGATAGATCAAAAGTATTCAAAGGAATGAGGTCTAAGTTTTTTTTCTCTTCACTATATTTTTGGTATTAAGTGTATTTTTCTTTAATTTTGGTGTTGATACAAATATCTCTTTTGATTTGTTTCCTAAACTTAATTTCTAGTTTACCAATTCCCGTAATTTTCTCAATTTCCTTTTAATATTGCACAGTGTCAGTTCCGAGAATCTATGAATTGTGTTTTCTTTATGGGCTGGGTATAATCACTAAAGTTAAATTTTCTCATTTCTGAAAACATTCCCAAACTAATGTTGGTTTTCTGTTATCTCTTCCTACAGAGGAAGGTAGGTATTGCATGTGTGGGGACGGGTTGTCATATGATGTAGTGTTAATGACATTAGCTCTGTGGACTAGCTGATTGCTTCCTACACTTATCTATTCTTGTTGAAACCCACACCATTTAAATAGTTTTTAGCAAATTTGAATTTATATTAAAGCTCACTATTAATATTAATAAGTCTTTGTTTTAAATATTAAGATAGTGATTTATAATATACATAGTAGTGAGTATAATTAGTTTAAACTTTAGAAAATCTTTGTATTCTTCTTTTTGAAAGATTTTAATGATGATCTTTGTATCGTAAGTAGTGAGACATGTTAGATGTTATCATAAAGATGCTTGATAAGTAAATGTAACGTTTGAAAAATTAAAACCCTCCGTCATATATGACAGCCTGACAATATCTATAATAGAGCAATGAGACTACTTAACACACTGACAGGCATACTGCTGTGAATGCTCCCCTTACAAACCATACGTTACATTTGTATTTATGTCAAACCCAGCTGATGGAGAAGGTAAATTGTGTGAGAACAGGGTAGAGATTGTTGTCTTTATGATGGGGATGGAAGGAGTGACCTGGTGTTGTTTTATTGGTAGAATTAGTCTCATCATGTAGATCAGGAAACTTAACTGGTAGCCTAAAGTTTATAATATTATGAGTATTACGGGTCTGAAGTAATGGTAAAAAAAATGTTTTTATTAAAATAATTCAAATATCAATTCAAAGTTTTATATAAAACATCATCATTGTTTAAAAAAAAAGTACCTGATACCTCGTCATGTAATAAATAGTGAAGTTATGTCAGTTCAGAATGTTAAGTATCAATATTTACCTAGTATTGCTTCAAAATATTTTGTGATTATTTCCTTATTCCTAATGATTTAAAACTCTTCCCCCCCCCCCCTCCCCCCGCCCTCCAAAGGGGAAAATAAATTAATGAATAAATAAATAAGAGAAATACAAATAAAATGAAATAAAGCAGTTATCTTAGCAGTTTAAATATTAGATATGCTTCAAATTTTCCAAAGTTTCATAAATTTTGTATATGAAACAATATTTACATTTATGGTACATCTAGAGTGTTAGAATTGAGTTGTACATTTGTGAAGTGTGATGAGTGGGTGACGGTTAAGTTGCTGACAATGCAAAGTAGAGTGTTGGTTGTTTGTTTATAGTGAGGAATCATTGGATGAATTTTTAACAGTTTTGTTACAAACAAGGAAATATTAATGGTGTTAGACATTAGATATAAACAAGATATAACAAAGTCATGGCTAATCGTTAAAATGTCAGTGTTTTTTAATTGATTAATCAGTTTGAAATTACTGGTAAATATCATTAGAAATATTAAATTATAAAATTACTGAAACATCATAACATAATCGCCGTCATGTTATACCATAAAACATGATCATGACATCTACCCTAACAAGTCTTCATATTGATTATCACTGCCAAGAGAACATTTCTTCAGTTACAAATTGTTTTCAATATGGAAGACCCAAATAAAATATCAGAAGAGAACTACTTGGTACTTGGTTTTGAAATCCATCCAAATTATATGTTTCCACTTAATATAATACATGATCTTAGTACATCGTACCAATAATATGTGCATTTGTAAAAACAAAGTTTCAACCATATTTGTATCATTGATGAAGTTCTATAGTCTTTTTTTGATATTTTGCATACTTTCTGCTAGATACCAGATAGACTAAAACTATTAGTGTAGATTATAGATTTCTCTGAAGTAGCTAGTTCTGTAACCTCTCCCTTCTGAGATATGGTCAAGTTCTATCCAGGTGACTGCTTTCTATCTCACCTGGATGACAGGGCAAAATGAGTTTACAAAATAGGTAGCACGTCCTGCCTACAATCTGTCATCAACTGTTTCTGTAAACCAGTTCTCCTCAAGCAGGTCTTCATCATATGTAATGGTTCTCAATTAGTGCTAGTTTTCGAGTAAATTTGTAATCCACAATCATGCCACCATGATGGCATCTGATTGGCCGAGACTTTATTTTCATGTCAAATCCTGAATAATCTTTTAAATCTTGACCATGGTAGCCCCTAATGTATTTTATTTTTTTGATGGCAAGAAAATTTTACCATATCGTCAACACAAATGAACAGGTTGTTGATCACTGTAGCACTTTTTATTTGACTTCATTGCTATGACAACCATATGCCTCATACATTTCCTAAGGACAGGCGGTGACTTTTATCATATCTGTCCTCTTAGAATCACCAAAAGGTAGACTAATTTGCTGTGTGGCTTTGTTGTAGGTGATCACGTTAAATTTTCTGCAGGATCAGCCAGTAAGACAAATTGGAAGAGAAAGTCCTCTTTCATATTTAATTGTTTTATGTTGAATTTCCTTGTTATTATGAACCCCAACCACAATCCTCTTAACTGTTTAGTTGACTGTTCGTCAGGAGTTTTGATGTTTAAGTAGTATAGCCACTGATTTTGTGAGAGAAGTGTTTCCACTTTGATTAAAGTTTATGTTAAATAAAGATCTGTTGGATGTAGACTTTGTGAGGCTGAAATGTTTGAAATCATGTTGAATGACCAGGATAACTATCACTTTAACCTAGTGTGCTATCACCTCCATTGCGTCCATTTGCGTAGATGTACATAGATGTATCTCCATATAACAATCACCATGTGTATTGAGATTTGTCATGATGTGATTTAAATGTAGCTAGCTTTATACGGACAAATCATTTAACCTCACCTCTCAACAAAATCAGTTGCCATGGTCACATCTTAATAATTCGTTAAAAAAAGTTGTTTGTTTATTTATTTGTAAACTTATCACTAGTAAATGCTTTAACAAAGTGTTTGAAATTTCTAAAAAGGATAAAATATTATTTTTTAAAATATTAAGATAAATTTTATGAAGAAAAAAGATGATTTTCATAGATTTGTTTAATGTTTATGTAGTTGATATGACCTCTACTTATAAAAAATCTTCAGTATTTTTTTTATATTAAATTTGAAGAAAAAAAGAAGATATTTGATAAAGCATCTCTGCCAGTCCATGTCACTTGAGTTTGGTATTACTCATGTTTAATGTGCTCTGACATTGTGACCACTTTGTTGCCACAGAGGAAGCCAACAAGAAGAAGGCTAAGGGACAGGTCGATAACCCCATGTCCAGAATACCTGGACTCCGGGACGCCAGCAAAAAGATGGCCAAAATTGTAAGTCTATATACAAAAGGTTCCATATTTCACAGACAGATTATTGTTAATTGGAATGTCTCTAAAATAATATTCACAAAGTTGGTGCTTAAGGAGTTTCCACCCTTCGTAATACACATGTTTTTCTTGTCCTATTTTCGTGTCGTCATTTCCGTATTGCGTATCGGGCATTCCATTACCGTAGTGTAAATTATAGTAACACCGGGTAAACAATAGTACACGTGCGTGACGCGATATGTCAACACCCGATATCGAGACTTAACTTGGAAATGTGTAATCACACGTACTTCAGAAATAAATCTCAAGAAGGTCGTATATGAGGCGCATGGAATGCAGACTGATGTGTTTTGTATACCGACCTCACCTGTATGTATCACGTGCTAACAGTAGTTCACAAGCTCTTGGTCACGACGACTTTTGTTGTCGAGCGAGTTACGCTCTGTCAGATAAATCGGTTCACAAATGTAATTACAATAACTTTGTGAAAATAGTGGTTTGTAAAAAATCAAGATCCCTATGAAATGCAAGTGCATGTGCGTGAACGTAATAACGGCATACCATGCGATAGCCTATGGTTACATACATGTATGTACCTGACATGTTAATATACCATGCGTAAGCAGGCTATGGAATGATGTCCAAAGTGTACATGATTGAGAGTAATTTTGTTCCATAAAAGAACAGTAAATTGACAAATAAATATAGTAATTTAATTTTTTTCCGTCGTTTTTGGTATATTAAATAAAATAAGTGTCAATGTATAAATTCTATCCCTCTGCAAAAAGTTCCGATTATTTTCAAGGTAGACAACTCTCATTAGGATCAAAATAATTGAAAATGTAAAATAAATTAATTATAAAGACTTTGTGTGTATTTGGTTCAATTTTTCACTCTTTTTGTATGTAACTATGTGTCCTGTTTGATTTTGGCTTGTATTTAGTAACTTTTATCCATATAGTTTCTATAAGAAACGCTTTTTGTAACATGTTGTAGATGTTTTATGATAAATAAAATATTTGTAGGGTTGATTAGAAATGTTTCTTTTCATTATTTTATTGTTGTAATAGTTTTGAACAATGCCACATGCTCAAAAAATGTGAAAGTGTTGAATTTGACAAAAATTCAATTTTTCGGTATTTTTTACAAATAAATCCCCAGTTTATCGGAATGCTTAGATTTTCATAAAATCATCTCTACATAGTGACATAACCATCATGTGAAACTTTCATTGAATTCTGATGGCTAATTGCGAAAGGGTGGAGCCTCCTTAATTGCTGTAAAGGTGATCATGTTATACTATTGTATTGTTCAAGCTCAGTAATTAACCCTTCCATCCCTCTACACCTTTAGTAGACTCTACCACTCATTGATCTGATTGAGTCCAATATGGTCTACAGTGGTGAAATGGTTAAACATATTTAAGAAATATCATCTCCGTAGTCCAAGGTACATACTTTTAGTGTAATATATATTCACTCTGAAAAGACATAAGAGACCACAACCTCTTGATTTTCCAGGATAAGGAAATACCGAACATGAAAGTACAAAAATAAGATATATGTACTAAAGGTATCTAAACCAGTAATTGAAGATATTAAAAAAAATATATATATTAATATACTGATGGATCAATATCGAAAATGACGTAAGTTTGTTAAGTATTGTGTATGTTTTGTGTGTTGATTTCCTTAACTTAGAAGTAATTGAACATATGATGTCTGTTTTGTAGGTTCCATTGTCCAGAGAGATAGCGCCATGGCAACACGCTGTAGATACAATGAACTTCAGATGTATCCTTCCCACCATATTACTACAACTGTTATTTATAGATTTTTAGCCCATCATCTGATGGTGGGCTATTCAAGTCACCCTGCGTCCGTGGTCCGTGGTCCGTCCGTTGTCCGTCGTCCGTCCGTAAACAATTCTTGTTATCGGTATTTCTCAAGAAGTACCAGAGGGATCTTTCTCAAATTTTATATGCAGGTTCCCCTTGGTCCTTAGCTGTGCAGGGCAACTTTCGAGACTGATCGGATAAACAACATGGCCGACAGGCAGCCATCTTGGATTTTGATAGTGAAAGTTTGTTATCGCTATTTCTCGAGAAGTACTAGAGGGATCTTTCTCAAATTTTATATGTAGGTTCCCCTTGGTCCTAGCTGTGCAGGGCAATTTTAGAGACTGATCGGATAAACAACATGGCCGACAGGCAGCCATCTTGGATTTTGATAGTGAAAGTTTGTTATCGCTATTTCTCGGGAAGTACGGGAGGGATCTTTCTCAAATTTTAAATGTAGGTTCCCCTTGATCCCTCGTTGTGTATGTTATATTTTGAGACTGATCATAAAAACAAAATGGATTAAAAGAAGAACTAAACAGATCTTTCTCATATTGCAATGATCGATTCTATTTCTTTCACATTAAGTACTGTACTAGTAAATATGTGAAATGACAAACTCACTTTGAAGGTTGGTTTTCATACACATCAGTATTAAGTTTAGATCAAAAGTTACCTCAAGGTGCATTTACTGTTAACATGTCTCGATCAAACAGATTAGAGGAAAGAAGAGAAAAGATTGAACTGACAAAGAACTAATGAAGATGGTACAAAGGTGGGCGCCAAGATCCCTCTGGGATCTCTTGTAAAATTTTACATACCCAATCCTATAACCGGTGTTAGGATATTTCTTGCAGAAAATAATTGCTCCCTTTCCCTGGATGATGATAGATAGTAGTTTACAGATATACATTACCATGATGTGACGTATCACTATAATATGTCCATAAAGTCACCATATAACCTTAGATTGAATTCATCCCTGAAAACAAATCACTGAAGATTGAAGACAATGGTGTTCTAGATTAAAACAGTTTTTCTATGTATGGTAAACTGTGTTGTGCTCCTTAACTGACCCAGATATTGTTGACACTCACCTGGATTGTGCTGAAACAGGTATGTACAAAAACACAGGTTAACTTGATCTTTCAAAACTACTGCAGTTTATATAATTAAGGCTACAGGCTTTGCTCAGCCATAGCCATATTTAGCTACGGGGTTAAAGATTGTGTTATGCGAGACAGATTTTAAAATAATTATTTCGGTTTCATTTCTTTTTAATCAATCTTTGCCATTTTTATGACACTACCACTAAAGTGTAAATGTTTGGAACCTTTGATCAGGGGAGGTAATCTAACAATATTCTGTTTGTTGTGTGGTTACAGAGGTGGACAAACCTATAGATGTACTCAACCGTCTTATTGATGAGTACGAGCAGCAGTTCACACCTCGTTGGCTCGGCATCATGGGAGACGACCACACCCCAAGCGTCGGAGAGTGGGAAATATATCTCACAGAAAACAGCTCTTTTATCTTCTACGGCATGGAGAAGTTCCTGAACTATATACCACCTGCTAAACTTACTGCTCTCAACATACCAGGTAGGTAATCTATTAACTTACTCTCAACATACCAGGTCAGTCAGTAATCTATAACTAACTGCTCTCAACATACCAGGGAGGTAATCTATTAACTTACTCTCAACATACCAGGTCAGTCAGTAATCTATAACTTACTGCTCTCAACAGACCAGGTGGGTGATCTATTAACTTACTGTCAACATAACAGGTCAGTCAGTAATCTATAACTTACTGCTCTCAACACACACTTGGTAAGTCAGTAATCTATTACTTACTGATCTTAACATACCAGGTAAGTCAGTAATCAATTAACTTACTGCTCTCAACATACTGGGACAGTCAGTAATCTATAACTTACTGCTCTCAACATACCAGGTTAGTAATGTATTAACTTACTGCTCTCAACATACCAGGTTAGTAATCTATTAACTTACGGCTCGCAACACGCACTTGGTAAGTCAGTAATCTATTCACTTACTGCTCTTAACACACACTTGGTAAGTCAGTAATCTATTACTTACTGATCTTAACATACCAGGTAAGTCAGTAATCAATTAACTCACTGCTCTCAACATACTGGGACAGTCAGTAATCTATAACTTACTGCTCTCAACATAGACTTGGTAAGTCAGTAATCTATAACTTACTGCTCTCAACATACCAGGTTAGTAATGTATTAACTTACTGCTCTCAACATACCAGGTTAGTAATCTATTAACTTACGGCTCTCAACATACACTTGGTAAGTCAGTAATCTATTCACTTACTGCTCTCAACATACCGGGTCAGTCAGTAATCTATTAACTAGCTGCTCTCAACATACCAGGTAAGTCAGTAATTCATTAACTTGCTGCTCTCAACACACACTTGGTAAGTCAGTAATCTATTCACTTACTGCTCTTAACACACACTTGGTAAGTCAGTAATCTATAACTTACTGCTCTCAACATACACTTGGTAAGTCAGTAATCTATAACTTACTGCTCTCAACATACACTTGGTAAGTCAGTAATCTATTCACTTACTGCTCTCAACATACCGGGTCAGTCAGTAATCTATTAACTAGCTGCTCTCAACATACCAGGTAAGTCAGTAATTCATTAACTTGCTGCTCTCAACACACACTTGGTAAGTCAGTAATCTATTCACTTACTGCTCTTAACACACACTTGGTAAGTCAGTAATCTATTACTTACTGATCTCAACATACCAGGTTAGTAATCTATTAACTTACGGCTCTCAACACACACTTGGTAAGTCAGTAATCTATTAACTTACTGCTCTCAACACACACTTGGTAAGTCAGTAATCTATTAACTTACTGCTCTCAACATACACTTGGTAAGTCAGTAATCTATTCACTTACTGCTCTTAACACACACTTGGTAAGTCAGTAATCTATTACTTACTGATCTCAACATACCAGGTTAGTAATCTATTAACTTACGGCTCTCAACACACACTTGGTAAGTCAGTAATCTATTAACTTACTGCTCTCAACACACACTTGGTAAGTCAGTAATCTATTAACTTACTGCTCTCAACATACACTTGGTAAGTCAGTAATCTATTCACTTACTGCTCTTAACACACACTTGGTAAGTCAGTAATCTATTACTTACTGATCTCAACATACCAGGTTAGTAATCTATTAACTTACGGCTCTCAACACACACTTGGTAAGTCAGTAATCTATTAACTTACTGCTCTCAACACACACTTGGTAAGTCAGTAATCTATTAACTTACTGCTCTCAACATACACTTGGTAAGTCAGTAATCTATTCACTTACTGCTCTTAACACACACTTGGTAAGTCAGTAATCTATTACTTACTGATCTCAACATACCAGGTTAGTAATCTATTAACTTACGGCTCTCAACACACACTTGGTAAGTCAGTAATCTATTAACTTACTGCTCTCAACACACACTTGGTAAGTCAGTAATCTATTAACTTACTGCTCTCAACATACACTTGGTAAGTCAGTAATCTATTCACTTACTGCTCTTAACACACACTTGGTAAGTCAGTAATCTATTAACTTACTGCTCTCAACATACACTTGGTAAGTCAGTAATCTATTCACTTACTGCTCTTAACACACACTTGGTAAGTCAGTAATCTATTACTTACTGATCTCAACATACCAGGTTAATAATCTATTAACTTACGGCTCTCAACACACACTTGGTAAGTCAGTAATCTATTCACTTACTGCTCTTAACATACAAGGTCAGTCAAAAATCAATAAAAAATGTGTATTGTGTACAGTATAAAATAGTGAATAAGATATTATCAGCAATGGTCATATTACCATCTTGAAACTATGACATTTTTTTTTAGAGATTTGAGGAAAGTGAAATTAATGTAAATCTATATTAAGTATACCTTGGTGATCATAATGAGATGAAGGATTTAAATATAATGAAGTCGGTATGTTAAATGGATGTGTTGTGTTTTGCAGATTGTAACATCCTGTATGTACAGGACCTGGCCCAGACTAGTAAGAGTTTCACCAGACAGTCCAAACTGGACGTACTGAAGAGGTGAGCCACCCACTCCCCTTTAATATACCTAAACCTAACCCACGTATCTCAGACTCTGAGCTAAAATGTACTAAAGAGGTGAGGTACCACTCCCTTAATATACTCAAATCTTACCCACATATATCTCAGACTCTGAGCTACAATGTACTAAAGAAGTGGGGTATAACTCCCTACAATATACTCAAATCTTACCCACACTCAGTCTCAGACTAAGAGCTACAATGTACTAAAGAGGTGAGGTACCACTCCCCTTTAGTTTACTTAAACCTAACCCACATGTATCTCAGACTAAGAGCTTCACCAGATATTCTAAACTGAATGTACTGATAAGAGGTGGGTCACCTACTCCTGTTTAATACTCTCAATCTAACCCACATGTATATCAATGTTTGTCAACTGAATTTCCATCCACCATGATTTTGTTTAAATGAATCTACTCTTTATGTGTATGTCACTGTGTCCCTGTGAGGTGAATTATTTGATGATAATTCTCATATCTTTTCAAGTGCAAGTATCCTGGCCCTTGAGAAACCTGTGGAGACGGCCATGTTGGTCAGCCTGACCGGGGTCAAGTGTCTCCTGGCCAACCAATGGCACTGTACCCTGGCAGAGAACGCCAACAGGTTAAAGGTCAACATGAAAGGTAAATCATGCAGGTCAAAGTCTAATGTCAATGTTGTACATATAAAATCAGCATGATCCGTGGGTATACAGACATCACAGATGAGGTTTGTAGCCACACACAAAGGCTAATGTCAATGTTGTACATATAAATCAGCATGATCCGTGGGTATATAATATATATACAGACATCACAGATGAGGTTTGTAGCCACACACAAAGGCTAATGTCAATGTTGTACATATAAATCAGCATGATCCGTGGGTATACAGACATCACAGATGAGGTTTGTAGCCACACACAAAGATCACAGTTCTATGTTTAGATGTGTTAAGTAGAACTTAACCTAGAAAGTAACTTAAATTTAGGTAAATCCAATAAAGATTTCAGAAAGACCAAAAATAAAGACGGTAAAAAAATATTGAAATGCCATGATTCCGTTTTGTTTATATTCTCTGTAAAGTGAAATGTTGTTTAAGGTGTTTTGTTTCAATTTAAATAATTAAGGATTTATGAAAGGCTTCAATATAAATCTAGCTAGAGATTGAGTAAACTACTTTAAATAGTACTGAATAGCAATTTTAATTTCATCAAACTTTAATGGTTTTGTTCTCAGGACATATTTGCTGTGTTTAAATTCAGTGCATCATTGTTAATAACCAGTTACAACCTGAATAAGCACTTACCCGAAAGGCAAGGAATTTGCGTAGTCCATGAATGTTTCACTATTTGAATAAATTCTGTAAATATCGTGAAAATAAAACACCTGTGAACTTTTGAGTACTGTATGGCTGAAATTTCCTCTTTGACACTAACGAGTACCTTATTGTGTTACAACAGACATGCTGGAGGGAGGCAGGACTACAGGTGAGTCTGCGCGACTGGTGTTCACGCCCTATAGACGTCGTAAACCTGAGGAGGACAAACCCGCAGACGAGGCCGAGGAGAAGGAGAGTCACCGAGAGGACGAGCGAGGCTTCAGTGACCGTGACTTTGGTGCCAAGGAGGAGATGCCTGAACCCGAGATGTCCTGGTATAACACCGTCTGTTACGGTCTTCCAAACATTGTAGTGACTCAGCTCTCCGGCACATAGTGTCAGCATCAATAGAATGTTTGTCAGTGACAATCTACGAAAACTGCCAAAGTGGAGAGCAAATAAATAAAAGGAGAATATGAGCTGATAAAAAATGTGAAAAAACACACCAATATTTTGATTGGAGGAACAATTTAGTATTTATATGAAAAGTGACATCATATTTATAATGTGAATAGCTTTGATCATTTGTGTGTTATTTTTGCATTTAAAATTTAATATTATGTACACTGTGATATTTTGTTGTCTAAGATGTTGGACTTCGCTGGAAAGAGATAATATAGTGCTGTATGTCCGACTGTATCGCCTCCAACTTTGTCACATCAATCTGAACTGATAAAGGAACTCGTGCTTGAGTTTAGGAATTCTCTATTTCAGAGTACCGTAAAAATCCATGTAATTTGCGCACCTATGTAATTTGCGCAGGTACTTTTTGAGGTATTAACAGATATACAGTCATATACATGTATTTATTGTGAGCATATTTAGGACAATGTCAGGTTTTTTTGAGAGAAACAAAATACTTTTATATTTACTACCAAACTTAATATTTAAATATAGTGATAAAATTGTGATATTTGACTTACATATCATTTACTATTCTGATTAATATAGTGATTATACTTTCTCTATTTCTAAATCTAATGTTGAGATTTGCTTGTTTTTACTTATTAAATAAGAATAAAGTTAACTATTTTGTGTTAATCTATGTTTTCTTTTCTTGAAGACCATTGTGATATCCTGCAAAGTTTTTACAATCAAATCTGAATTATTTTCAAGCATGTCATGACTTAATTTCATGAATAATTGATAGTGTTCATTACAGACTTATATCAAGGTTTTCTATAAGATTTCAAGTTGTAAGTACCCAACACAAAATAGGCAGTTAATTTCAGTACATTTTATAGTACAAATATTCCCTCAATTTTTCATGAAAGAAGCCGGTGAAATATCCCTAGAAGGAGGGAATTTTTAGCCGCTACTGGCTACAAATGAAACCCGTTATATGCAATGTTTAATTTTACAACAGATTTTATGTTACTTTGGTTTATAAGGGCTGTATTGGGTACAGTACAACAAAGCTGAGCTCAGATACAAACCTCACAAATCGGGTTATACATATCCATCAGAAAAACTCCAGTTCAGAGATTATTTATCAAGTCACTGGCCATTTGTTGGGTTTGCCACAATGTATATGTCAAGTGGAATGGGTTTCAAGTAGTTAGTGCAGACTTGACATGGACTCCTGTTCTGTCGCATCACTACCACTAACAGGGTAAATCGTTAACTACAGCCCTGCATTAGAGATATGGGTGCCCCCATAGTACTCCTAGATGGTATTCAGGGTGAATGTGCGTCTGTCTATCTTCCTTCCACACTTTTGTTTCTGAAGATTACCTTAGAATTCAGAAGTTAACATTTCTTAATTTTACATGTAGATGTGCACTAGGGGTATCAAATGTTCCTAACGACAAGGTCATTATGTATGTCAAAATGAATTATACATATAACGCCCTTTCTGATCAACTAGAATGCATTTGGAGATGAACCAGGAGAACCATCCTACATGAATGATGCCATGATACCAGGATAACAAAATACAAGAAAGCCAACAGTCTTATAAAGTCAAGGTCACCCATTAAGAATTGAAGAGGGGCAATGGTAACTTTAAGCTACATTGTATCACCCTTTCTCACCCATCGGTGATTGCTTTGATTGTAAACCATACTTGGTTGATATCCTACTTAACCCTTTCATCCCTATGTAACTTTAGAAGACTACCATGCATTGATATGAATGAGTCCATTATGGTCTACAGTGGTGAAAGGGTTAAGCAAGGGTCATAGACAACAAATGCCCTCCTTATTTTAAGTGATTAGAAAAGTGTTAAAGAGCGAGCAAGTCTTGTTTTGAAGAGCAGGTATATAAATATGCACTGAAATGGTGACCTTTTTGTTTTTGTGTCAAAAGGTGAATTGTTTGTGACTATTGGTTAAGAAAGGCAGTCTGTTAGGGCAATGACTCCAAAGTTATATTTATAACAACCACTTTCTTTTTTGACCCTAGAAGGTCAAAATGTGAACTCATAGAAGGGATGTTTGTGAATCCATACAGGAAGTTTATTACAATTAGGTGAGAAATTAAGTTTAAGAGCAATGTTTATTTCTACTGACCCCACAAAATTGAAATGTGAATTGTACAAAGGTAAGAGTGAACATATACTGGAGGTTTCGTGACTATCAGATTGGAAATGAAGTCTGGAAGTGATCACTGGAAGAGATTTGTTGAATTATCAAAAGAAAGTTATCCCCTCATATAAATACCTCATTGGCTTGAATATTTTAGATTGAAAAATGGTCTGGAAATTAAATAACTCCAACCAGGACTTCCATTTTAGTTATTCAACAATCTTACTTCAAGTAAAACACAAAGAAACAAACAAATTAAACATTTTATTTGTCTTAAAAATCAACAACATTTTTTGTAATAGGTAAAAAAATACATTCTTCTTCCAATTATTAGACGTAAAGGAAGAGATGAAACTGAGAAGTTTGAAAAATATTGTATACATAAATCATTTAACTTATGACAAGAAGCCCATGGGCCTTAACGGTCACCTGATATATTTATACAGAGAGTTGATTTTGTTTTTAACACGAACAGAAATATTATTCCGTGACAAAAAACAATAAAACCACCTTATTCAATATCTAGCATACAGATTTAAGACTAAAAAGTATTTGAAACTAGCACCTCTGATTCTAAACAAGGAAAATGAAGAAATTTTAGCACACTGACTCCTTTGGGCCCCACCCTACAGCCCTTGAGGGTAGGGCTGGCTCAAAATTTTCAAAGTATCAAACTGTCAACTCAGGGTTATAATTCCAATCAAGTTATTAACATGTAATATTCAAAGTATCATTTGCCATTATAAACCATAATAAATTTTGCCTCCCCTCCTTCCCCAGGGGATAAACGTGAGACCCTAGGGTCATAAACCTTAAGACCCTTCCATCTATGAAGAGTGTTTGATTCTACCATATCTGGGTCTTGGAGAAGATTTTTTTTTTGAAATTTCGGTCAACTCAACCCTTTTTGGCCCCACCCATCAGCCCTGGGGGGTCAGTCAGGGCTTATATGTGCATACCATCAAACTGCTATCCAATACTGATAATGCTAACCCAAACTGAATTACTTCCAATGAAAATTAAACAAATGTTGGTCCAAAATGTGATTTCCCTATATAAACTATAGTAAAGTTTACCCTCTCCCCAGGGGTAAACGCGAGACCCCAGGGTCATAAAATTCACAATTTTGGTAGAGCACCTTAAGACCCTTCCATCTATGAAGAGTGTTTGATTCTACCATATCTGGGTCTTGAGAAGAAGATTTTTGAAATTTCAGTCAATTCAACTCTTTTTGGCCCCGCCCCTCAGGCCCCTGGGGGCCGGGGACCAAACCGGCAACTATTTATGTTGACCTTTGGCCATGGAAGGTTTCTGCAAAATTTCACTGAAATTGGTTCAGGGATTTTGGAGAAGAAGTCGAAAATGTAAATTGTTTACGGACGCACGACGGACGACAGACAAGGACGGACAAAAGGCGATCGCAATAGGTCACTTGAGACTTTGTCTCAGGTGACCTAAAAATGTAGATTTAACAACTATGTCACTTATTCACCTGTTCATGTTGTATATGAACAGTTAACTTAATCATAGATTAGCTAAGTTATAACAGTAAAGTATATATGGCACCAATGAAGAAATATTGAAGGGAGATAACTCTATGCTTTAGTCAACATCATACACCACACCAAGTTGCTTGCGGACCTCATCAGTAATGGTCATTACCATCTCACTGTGGCGATGGGACATGGCCTCGCATTCTTTTTTACCTAGAATGTAAAAAAATATATAATAATGTTGATCCTACAGCTTAGCATTGATTGTTCCCATCATTGGTTAAATAGGTACGCTGACGAAATGACTAAGGCTACATTGGTTAAATAGGTACGCTGACGAAATGACTAAGGCTACATTGGTTAAATAGGTACGCTGACGAAATGACTAAGGCTACATTGGTTAAATAGGTACGCTGACGAAGTGACTAAGGCTACATTGGTTAAATAGGTACGCTGACGAAATGACTAAGGCTACATTGGTTAAATAGGTACGCTGACGAAGTGACTAAGGCTACATTGGTTAAATAGGTACGCTGACGAAATGACTAAGGCTACATTGGTTAAATAGGTACGCTGACGAAGTGACTAAGGCTACATTGGTTAAATAGGTACGCTGACGAAATGACTAAGGCTACATTGGTTAAATAGGTACGCTGACGAAGTGACTAAGGCTACATTGGTTAAATAGGTACGCTGACGAAATGACTAAGGCTACATTGGTTAAATAGGTACGCTGACGAAGTGACTAAGGCTACATTGGTTAAATAGGTACGCTGACGAAATGACTAAGGCTACATTGGTTAAATAGGTACGCTGACGAAGTGACTAAGGCTACATTGGTTAAATAGGTACGCTGACGAAATGACTAAGGCTACATTGGTTAAATAGGTACGCTGACGAAGTGACTAAGGCTACATTGGTTAAATAGGTACGCTGACGAAATGACTAAGGCTACATTGGTTAAATAGGTACGCTGACGAAGTGACTAAGGCTACATTGGTTAAATAGGTACGCTGACGAAATGACTAAGGCTACATTGGTTAAATAGGTACGCTGACGAAGTGACTAAGGCTACATTGGTTAAATAGGTACGCTGACGAAATGACTAAGGCTACATTGGTTAAATAGGTACGCTGACGAAGTGACTAAGGCTACATTGGTTAAATAGGTACGCTGACGAAATGACTAAGGCTACATTGGTTAAATAGGTACGCTGACGAAGTGACTAAGGCTACATTGGTTAAATAGGTACGCTGACGAAATGACTAAGGCTACATTGGTTAAATAGGTACGCTGACGAAGTGACTAAGGCTACATTGGTTAAATAGGTACGCTGACGAAATGACTAAGGCTACATTGGTTAAATAGGTACGCTGACGAAGTGACTAAGGCTACATTGGTTAAATAGGTACGCTGACGAAATGACTAAGGCTACATTGGTTAAATAGGTACGCTGACGAAGTGACTAAGGCTACATTGGTTAAATAGGTACGCTGACGAAATGACTAAGGCTACATTGGTTAAATAGGTACGCTGACGAAGTGACTAAGGCTACATTGGTTAAATAGGTACGCTGACGAAATGACTAAGGCTACATTGGTTAAATAGGTACGCTGACGAAGTGACTAAGGCTACATTGGTTAAATAGGTACGCTGACGAAATGACTAAGGCTACATTGGTTAAATAGGTACGCTGACGAAGTGACTAAGGCTACATTGGTTAAATAGGTACGCTGACGAAATGACTAAGGCTACATTGGTTAAATAGGTACGCTGACGAAGTGACTAAGGCTACATTGGTTAAATAGGTACGCTGACGAAATGACTAAGGCTACATTGGTTAAATAGGTACGCTGACGAAGTGACTAAGGCTACATTGGTTAAATAGGTACGCTGACGAAATGACTAAGGCTACATTGGTTAAATAGGTACGCTGACGAAGTGACTAAGGCTACATTGGTTAAATAGGTACGCTGACGAAATGACTAAGGCTACATTGGTTAAATAGGTACGCTGACGAAGTGACTAAGGCTACATTGGTTAAATAGGTACGCTGACGAAATGACTAAGGCTACATTGGTTAAATAGGTACGCTGACGAAGTGACTAAGGCTACATTGGTTAAATAGGTACGCTGACGAAATGACTAAGGCTACATTGGTTAAATAGGTACGCTGACGAAGTGACTAAGGCTACATTGGTTAAATAGGTACGCTGACGAAATGACTAAGGCTACATTGGTTAAATAGGTACGCTGACGAAGTGACTAAGGCTACATTGGTTAAATAGGTACGCTGACGAAATGACTAAGGCTACATTGGTTAAATAGGTACGCTGACGAAGTGACTAAGGCTACATTGGTTAAATAGGTACGCTGACGAAATGACTAAGGCTACATTGGTTAAATAGGTACGCTGACGAAGTGACTAAGGCTACATTGGTTAAATAGGTACGCTGACGAAATGACTAAGGCTACATTGGTTAAATAGGTACGCTGACGAAGTGACTAAGGCTACATTGGTTAAATAGGTACGCTGACGAAATGACTAAGGCTACATTGGTTAAATAGGTACGCTGACGAAGTGACTAAGGCTACATTGGTTAAATAGGTACGCTGACGAAATGACTAAGGCTACATTGGTTAAATAGGTACGCTGACGAAGTGACTAAGGCTACATTGGTTAAATAGGTACGCTGACGAAATGACTAAGGCTACATTGGTTAAATAGGTACGCTGACGAAGTGACTAAGGCTACATTGGTTAAATAGGTACGCTGACGAAATGACTAAGGCTACATTGGTTAAATAGGTACGCTGACGAAGTGACTAAGGCTACATTGGTTAAATAGGTACGCTGACGAAATGACTAAGGCTACATTGGTTAAATAGGTACGCTGACGAAGTGACTAAGGCTACATTGGTTAAATAGGTACGCTGACGAAATGACTAAGGCTACATTGGTTAAATAGGTACGCTGACGAAGTGACTAAGGCTACATTGGTTAAATAGGTACGCTGACGAAATGACTAAGGCTACATTGGTTAAATAGGTACGCTGACGAAGTGACTAAGGCTACATTGGTTAAATAGGTACGCTGACGAAATGACTAAGGCTACATTGGTTAAATAGGTACGCTGACGAAGTGACTAAGGCTACATTGGTTAAATAGGTACGCTGACGAAATGACTAAGGCTACATTGGTTAAATAGGTACGCTGACGAAGTGACTAAGGCTACATTGGTTAAATAGGTACGCTGACGAAATGACTAAGGCTACATTGGTTAAATAGGTACGCTGACGAAGTGACTAAGGCTACATTGGTTAAATAGGTACGCTGACGAAATGACTAAGGCTACATTGGTTAAATAGGTACGCTGACGAAATGACTAAGGCTACATTCGCATACCCCTCAATCTACACATTCCAAATTTTCCCGAGAAAAATATCCAGGTAAAAGAGACGTAATTTTTGCAGATCATGACATATTTATTTTTAATACTTTGTGAGAATGTACATAATGTTAATTGCTGTTAACAGATAAATGTGTCCATTAACAATGAGATACCATGTCGGCACCAGAGTCTTGTCAAACACGACTACGTGCTCACGGAGCCAGGCTGGAACATTTCAACTTTACCAAAAATGTTTACTGCCTACACAATTTCCAGCCTGGAGATTGAATTTTATAAGGAATGTGACTATTTGTTAATGATAAAGTTCTTCCAGGTCCAGAAAGCCAATTTCTGGGTTAATGAGTTCAATTAATGTTGTGGAAACCTGACTGTTGCCTGGAGTTTTAGTTTTCCTGATTAACCTCTATGGGATTAATGTGCTTCAACTGTATTCCAAATTGAATCTGAAGGCTTATATATTTACTTCATCATTCACAAATAGCTCAATATGATATATCTAGACTGCAGATGAATAGGAGATATTTGATGTATAAACACTACCATATAAAGTTACAATAAGTTCAACATACCTTCAAGAATGGCCTTGCGGGCATGGTCCGCCTCGTACCTCAATCCTCCACTGTTTACGAATATATAGGGGTGCTGCCCCTCAGGAAGCTCATTGGTGACAACGCCTGATGGAAGTGTGGCTTTCTCTGGACACCAGAAGTGGTCGGGTATCTAATGAAATGACAGTCTTTTTTTTACTATCATGTTCTTTATTTTAACATTCCAAATATTGTGAGGGTGCAAAATGACATGCTCAAATCATTATTGTGTCACTGAGATTTGTACTGTGTAGGAGCATGCTTGAAATTGTTACTATCTCGGTGACATATTCGTGAAGTAACTTTTCAAAGATAATCCTTGAAAATTTCAAAATGGGGCAGATGTAGAAATCTGTGGTACAATTGTATGAAAAGTTCGTGAAAATGTTTTGATATTTTTTGTATCCTGTGTATTTTCAGTATTATCTTTACACAATATCCCAGAAATCATGTTATCATGTAAACATTATAATACATGAATGATGTTTACAGCACACAATAACACATGCATGAATCGTGTTATCATGTCAACACAATAATACATGAATGATGTTTACATTACATGCAGGGATCGTCACTAACATATCCGGTGTGCACATGTAGTAACGACAACAGTTTATAGGTAAGACAAATCAACAGATAAGGTTGTAGAACTATCAAATTTGAAGGAAATACAGAACCGTATTTCACAATAAAATTCCACCTGCATTTGAAGCTATGGAGACAGTTTCCGAGACTGGGAATTTTCCGGGGAAATTAAACCTGCAAAATGTACAAGTAGAAGCTTTTTGTTTGCCATTTTTCAATTCCAAATTTTATGCCTATTTTTAAGTACTCTATTATACAGGGTCTTATATGTATTTGTTTTCATATCAGATTCCTGAAACAAGTCCAGCAGTTATATACTTTACTAGGAAAACCTTTGAATTGCTTTCATAAATCATAAGATGTTTTCTCTGATCATCAAATCTTCAACAATTTGGTGTCAATGTCTATTGTGTTGATACAACATCAGCCATGATGTCATGTGTTGTTTTAATTCTGATTTCACAGTAAGTTTATTGCATGAGGCAATACACAAAAACAAATGTCATTGGTGTATTCACCATACAACAAAGTAGTTATAATAATGATAATTATAATATACAACATTTGTATAGCACCCTATATAATTTTAAAATTACTCTAAAGCGCTTTACAACATAAACATAATAGTATTAGTTAAATTTGATATACACAAAGGCTTACAATCACCATTATACGTTAAGCAAGAAGATAATCATCTCAATGTGCACATAAATGAATAAATAAAGGGTGGTATGTACACGACGTCTGTGCAATAAGTGTGATATGTACACATGTAATAAACTGTTTTCACACAATTTCCAGCATACACATTACAGCGTTTCATGTAGAAATGATGGTGTCACTGATTACCTCGATGTTGGCCTTTGTACCGTTGATACTGGCAGAACACTGAGTGACACAGGTACGACCAGAGTAAGTCAGATTAGCCATCCCGCCTCCCTTATACTTCAGGATGACACAGCCTCCCTCATCCATACCTGTCAACGAAAAGCCATTGGGCTATTTTATTTTACCAGATACATCTATTATAAAACATTCCAGATTTTCAGATTTCACCAAGAGTTTTAAATTTTCCTCAACTCTAGGAGTTTTCATATTAGTGCAATCTGATTATGTTGACAAGAATTTAGTTTGCGTCATTACTTTTTCATATTTCTGGTATCTGATAACACAACTCTAGGTCTGGGAGTTCTGTAGCACCAGTCATTCAAAACTTTTAACAGAATTGATCCCATGCAGCTTTCATTGTGGCTCACACTGATTTGTCTCTCTCTTTGAAGTTTATGTTATTTCCTCTGAATTAACACAATTACAATTACAGGCCTTTTTTCGGGAGTTAAAACATTGTAAATTACTTCCAGCACTCTTTTGATGGCCTGTCAGGGTGCAGGGGATAATTTACCTGCTTCAAACCAGGAATTTCTGTGGTGGTGATGTTTTGGTGAAAAGAGAAATTGTAATAAATATATTTCTTTCTTGTACAATTCTTTGCTATTAATATAAATGAGGAAACAACTCCAAGTCAGAAAAATGTCAAACAAATTGGAACTCTTTTTCATTGGAGAAACAAGACAGAACACTGGAACTTTCTGCCTTAATGATAATGTTATCATATATACACAACTATTTATTTAATGATTAAATTTCAAGGATATCAAATGTAGACCTAGGGATTATTTTACTAGACAAGATTGTATATATAGGCGAACGTTTAAACACCCCTGAAACTCTTAACTTTGTGAGCGTATAATAAACATAATTTCCCACCTTAGAATGAGAAAAAACTTTTTTAATTGAAGATATATTTTAAATCAGAATATGATATACTCATAAAAGTCAAACCTGACAACTCTATCAAGAAGCCAAATCTAATAAAATACCACTTTAACTCATTCACCCCTAAAGTCACATTTGAACCATACCAAATCAAAGACTTGGCAAGTTCAGTTTAAAAATGTAGGGGGAATGAGTAAAAAACCTTCCATTAAAAGTTATTTTCATAAACTTGTATTAACTCATTCACCCCTGAAGACACATTTGAACTCTTCCAATTCAAAGGTTGGAACAGTTCATTATGGAATTTCAGGGGCGAAATAGTTAACAGATCTCCTGCAATACAAGGCCTCTTTGTGGACTTCCTGGACGTGTACTCTCAATCGATTGTACTGAATCCGTAACATTTTTATCAATAAATCTGACAAATACAACAGTGGGTACCTTATGATCTCCATCAGGTAGTGTTGTCATGGCAGAGCAGAAGTCGTTGGAGATCTTTCCTGTACCACAGATCCCCCATCTTAGACATTTGGTTGTCATGTTTTACTCCTTCAACACAAGAGAAAAATGAGGGGAAAAAAATTCAAGATTAAATGAATACTCCACAAGGCAAAGTGTGACACAGTCAGTGTTAAGGCATTGTGTAATTGACTACGTATATCTAGGGAATAGCTAAGTGAATCCAGAATTACATAGATATGATCTTAAAGTTTCAACTGACCAGTTAAGCACGTACCAATTGATTATGAAGGGTTTAAGGACCTTATGATAGATAAGGACTGGGGGCATCCTTCAGACATGGAGTGAATCCAAGATCACATAGATATGATCTTAAGTCTCAACTGACCAGCTATAACCAGGTACCAATTGATTATAATGGGGTATAAATTTAACCTAGAAAGGAGATAATGGGAGAAGGGCAAGGGACGGCTAGAGAAGAGGTTAGAAGAGCAAAGGACGGCTAGGGAGGAGACCAGAAGGGCTAGGGACGGCTAGAGAAGAGGTCAGAAGGGCTAGGGACGGCTAGAAATGGGCTAGAGCTAGTACAGCTAGAGACAGCTCGGAGACGACCGAGAGCGAGACCAAACGATAGAAACCGATCCTAATACTTTAGGTTACCAGAATAAACTTCTAACCAACCATCAACCCTTGTCACTCGTGTTTTGTTACATGAGCTGATTGGGTGCCAGTGACCAGGATTCGAACACAACGCAGCACTGTTTTCACACAATTCCATACACATTACAATGTTTCCTGTAGAAACGATCATGTCAGCGATCACCGTGATGTTGGCCTTTGTTTCAACAAGTTTTGTTGTTTGTTTTGTTGTCTGGTTAGGGTTTGTCGAGCTGTAAAATATTAGAGAAGACAGTCGTTAGATTCGATGTTACCTTAATTCCATCCCAAAGTGAAGTCTTTACAAAGTAAAGTTACATAATGTAGTATAGTCTTTATAAAGTAAAGTTACATAANCTTTACAAAGTAAAGTTACATAATATAATACATGTATATGTATATGATGGACATCAATGAATGGCAGGTGAAGTTAATCAACAACAGCTAGCTACATGTATATAGGCTATTTAGTATTGACACAACAACTTGATAATAATATTGAAATTAAATGAAAGTCTAACTGAGCAGATACAAAATAACAATATTTAATTTTTGGACAAGATTACAAATACTTGAGCCCATGAACAAATGAATTCTGGATCTAGTTCCTCGCTTTTATATGAAATTAGCAAATAAATCAATAAATTGGATTGACGTATTGTTACAATATAATTTTAACTAGATTTAAAAATTGCTTTAAATACTGAACAATAATTTAAATGACAATGTATAATTTGTTTAAGAAAGGGGAATTAGCAAAATAAGATGGGGGGGAAATTAGCTATGTAGAGTTCACTTTGCAGTTAGAGGTATTGTCAATGCCTGAAGTCTTCAAGAACAGCTCAAAAGATTACTGTAATTAATGTATTTAAATAAAAATAAACAATAATTTATTAGAAATTAGAATAACTGATTTGCATTGTGGTGCAAGTCTTTTTGCATCAAGAAAAATGTCTACAAGATCAGATTGTTTACATTTATGACCTACTTCCCACCAACTACATAAGGAGGACACATACAGTGTGATAGAATGACTTCCGGTTGGAGAATATTTTGAACAAGAGGCCCAATGGGCCTGCATCGCTCACCTGGTATAAATCTCACACTTGTAACCTTAAAAGTGATCTAAAATAAAGCTGCAGGCAAAATATCAGTATTTATGATTACTGGCCAAATATCATCTCCCTGGGCAGTTTGGTTATCGAGAAGATGTTTAAAGTTTTTAACATATTTGACCCCTGTGACATTGAAAATGGGTGAAGGTCATTCATTTTAACAAACTTTATAGCCCTTCATCCCAGTTTGCTTCTGGCCAAATATCATTACCCTAGGCCTTTCGGTTATTAAGAAGCGGACGACAGACGGACGGACGGACGGACGACCGACGCCGCAACACGGCATAAGCTCACTTGGCACTTAGTGCCAGGTGAGCTAATAAAAACTGGACAAATATTTCAGTCACATAGATTACAGGTTTTACATATTAAACTCATCAATAACACAACATCAGCAATCTGAACCATTGTATCTGTATTAAGCTCATAGAGAATGAAATGATTATAAATTCTGCCTGAACAGATTTAGAAAGGAAAATACACAGTTCGGATGTATGTACACATATCTGTACTTTGTCTCTGTTGTGAACATTGAGTGTCAGTAACTGACCCGTGTGTTGGATTTGTTACATATAATTACATGTTCAGAGAGCTAGAATCGTAATAAACACATATCAGATAGATACCTGTACCATAGGAGACATGCCGAACACTGTGACATGCTCTGGTGTTGTGAATAAAGGACATTCTGACTGCACTCAACAATGTTGCCATTTTGTAAACAAGGTAGATAAAAAATATAAGTTTGAATGAATATGTTACAAAACATTGAAGAAAATGCATATGTATAGTAAATTGAAATAAAATAATAATCAAAATCAATGTTATAGCACGGACTTCAGATAATCTAATTCCGCGGTTATATGTGTAACATTTCAAAAGTTATGAAAAGTACAGTAGTTGAAAGTGTGGTCAATTTTGGTTAGAGTCATCTCCCTTAGACCGATAACCGCGCCGACAACCTGGATGTGACATCTCGGCGCGCACAACACATGATTGATTTTCCTCCACCTTGTTACTTGATTTCAGGATCTAAGAGCAGTTCCAACTATTTGTTGTGACGGTGTGAAAAAAACATAAAATAATTGTGAAATGCACTAATGTATCGGTTCCTGACTTGGAGCATGCATATTTTATATTAATGAATATGATAAAATGCCATATTCAATACAATATTAGCAGATTAGGTTAGTTTTTGTGTGTGTGTTTTTGAAAAGGGGGGTGGGGGGGGGTACGCCCATTACGCCCTCACCTGGACCCGCCCCTGGTTATAGTAATGTATAACATTTCAAAAGTTATAAAAGTACATAAAATGGCTCACCTGTAAATTATTAGAGAAGACAGTCGTTAGATTCGATCTTTATTCCATCCCAAAGTGAAGTGAGGGTCTGGGGGAACAAAAATCTAGTCGCTCAACACTGATTGTTGACACAGTTACGTCACACTAATTGGTTCGACCAGCTTTAAGTGCATAGACAATAGGTTGCTGGTCAGTGTGAAACTGACCAAAGAGAGTCAAAGTGACTTGAGCCTTTTTGTAAATAGGGAATAGTTTTCTTGCATCAAATGCTTTTAGGCAAGCGTATTCCCAGAAAACTGTGTTTGACCGTGAATGAAAGGCTTAGGCTGATCATTTGGGTTGTACATTTCCTGTTTTGACTTAAAAACACAAGTATTTCTTTGCGTCTTTGTCAACAATTGAAAATAAAGGCTTTCATAAAGGGAAATGTAAAATGAAAGGTTTCATATAGGAAAATGTTAAAATGTAGATTTTCCTTATCAAATATCCCTCCTGCTTTGAAAAATCTTTGTCCCCAAAGATAAATGTACACATGAGTAACCTATTCTATACAAATGTACAAAATGACAATACATGAGTATGGTTATCGGATATGGAAAAAAAATGCACCTGGATATGTCATGTTTTTGACAACGTTTGACTCTATAAAGACAATCTAATAGTTATATACAGGGAGGAAAAAAATGACAATCAAGCAACCATGTACGAAAACAATGCATATGAAAAGGTTGTGACACATGTGCCAAATATATGTACACGATGAGAAGGCTTATGTGTATGAAATATACATTATGTACATAAATATTTGAATGCATAAATTGATGAAAAAACAAATGAGTGATAAATGATATTGACAAACATTAGTTAGTCCTGTCAGACAATGTGGCTCTGCTACCAATTTGTAGCCCCTTGCTCTTCGAATTATAAAAAGACAGGCTTGGTAGTTTGATAGTGTTTATTCCCGTAGGAAAAACCTGTAATATTAACAAACAAATACAATAAATACATTTGATAACACATTGACCTGAACTTATATACATCGACATGAATACAAAGAATTACAAATGTACAATGACAATGTGAACATTACAGACAGACTTACCAGGCTGATACGGATGGATGTTGACTCCTACGAGTCCTGGAGAGGAATGGCTGGAGAAAGTTTGGTTGGGACGTGACAGGACTCCGTTCTGCCCGTGCATTCCGTTTTTACACCACGGCTCTTTTGTTTCAGCCCGATGTGTAACCCACGTGAACAACCCGCTATTGAATAGATTGCCTCATTTGCATATACCACCCTACCTGTGGTTGAAGAACCTGGGCACGTGCAAATTCCATTAAATACCGGATTGTTCCCGCAGGCTAGTTTTGACAACTGATTGCCGTTACAAAAGCACACAGTACACATGACAACATTCAACAAATGCTTTTAATATATGTACGTAGTATTACATTGTATATTGCATTATGATGAATAATTTCACAATTTTTCACATGTGAAAATGAATTTCGGAGTTATTGAAGTTATATACGGGGGAAATTGGAACCGGACTGGGAACACTAGTGATAGCCATAGAGGGGGGGGGGGACTCTGGATTTTTACATGTCGATTGGATAACGCGGGAAACACTGCGTTTTTGATCGTCATTCGCGCGCTTGTATCGGTACACAGCGGTACTGCGATGGCCCGTTTGCTCCATAATCAGTTGTTCCGACACATTTCCCTGACACAACCTCGTAGCTGTTGTAGCTCGCAGGGAATGGTTTGTATAGAAACCTTTGAATCCAGCAAGAATTGTTATGTGTTTTACTATATTGGCCAGCTTGTTGTGTCCAACGGGGACTTGGGAAAACCATATAAGAAGTAGAAATGATCGGGATCGGAATTTGGGTGCAACTTGGAACAATGTTTTTCAAACAGCGTCACGGGGCAACGGGTTTTGTCATTTGCTTCATAAGCACGGGCTCGATGGGAGTCCACTCTCCTGTGTTTAATTCCACCGCGATAGGTTTTAGACACACTCTCGCAGTATTCTAAATACCTTTTTCCATCCGAGTCCGCTATAACGTTCAAATTTCTGCGTGTCAAATTTCTGTGCTCATCCCCTCCCCCCTCGAAGACCAAAGTGTATGCGAACACTCCAGAATATGGTATTCAAAAGAGTTTGGGGATTTTCTGATCCCAAGAACCCCTTTTCCCAAAGAACATTTTCTTTCTCAATTGTAATGACCTCGGTTTTTGTTTTGTTTATACCTACCCCCATTTTAGTGACCGATTGCATTGCATTGTCTAGGCAGTTTTTTACGTCTTTGAACTTTGGATCTTGAAGCACAGAAATTTGCCCCCAAGCGTTTCAAAATGGCGCTGAATTGCCGTTATTATGGAGAATAGGCTACCACTAGTATACTCACGCCCATCTTCCCGCTTTAAGGAGAGTACAAAAAATGGTAGTGCAAAATTAAGTTCTTCATCAGAAAGGTCCTCAAGATTCTCTTTGTCTTGCAGTAATTCCACCAGTTCTTCATTTAAATTCAGTTGGACAACGTGTTCCCGCCATTTCCGGTATAGGCTAATTGGCCATTGTTTTTTTTCGTTCTGTGTTCTCTGGAACAAACGGTTTGGCCATCTTGTTTACGAATTCAGCATTCACTTCTGCAAATCGAGATTGTGCTGCAATCAAATAAATAATACATTATAATGTGGTCATGGTATCACAAAATCTGCGAAATTGAATAGTTCTATATACCGTGTATTATGCTCGGTATTTACTATTTCTATTCCGAAAGTTATCTAAGTTAAATATTTTATAGATGTACATGTATTGAACAAATTGAAATACTATGGTACATGTGTAAATGTTTAATAAATTTTAAAGATATGTTGAAAAATGTTGTTAATATATGTTTAATACTTTTGTAAATAAATGTTCAATAATATTGTAAATAAATGTTCGATAATATTGTAAATGTATGTCAAATATATGTTCAATAATATTGTAAATGTATGTACAATACTATTTTTAATATATGTTCAAAAATATTGTAAATGCATGTTCAATAATCTTGTAAATTCATGTTCAATACTTTTGTAAATATATGTTCAGTAATATTGTAAATGTATTTGTATTTAATCTATTATGTTTTTTGTTTGTTTTGGTATGAAATCAAATTAATGTCACAACGTGTTACATGTGATGTCCCCTTCTTTGGGTTTCTCGGGCTCCAAGTCTTTATCTGTAAAAGTGTAAGAAAGTATAATTAATTTTAAGATATGCATCGATTTCATATATTAGGACACGTACGATACAGGTGGACAAAATGTTTATATATTTTATTTTATTTTTTTATTTTTTAAAAATTATTTCAGTTACTAATCATTCTTACCATGAAGGACAGGAAAATGGTGGGAAGCAGCAACTTCTGTCGGTCCACCCTCCTCAAGCATGTCAGCCACGTCAATAGCACATTGAATAGCATTAAAATCTTTGGTTGTAGCGTTTATAAACGTATTCTGGGTAAGAAAAATACCTCCGTCATCATCAGAACTTCCCCCCGAAACAGCATGAAACTGTTCAGCGAGGTCAAGCGCCTGACTTAAAATTGCATCCGAGTCACAGTCCGACATGTTGGCGACAACAACAAAATGTAAAACACGATTATACCACATGGTTTGTTGTATACCACCTCTGCACGAGCGCAAGAATGTTGAATATATTTTATCAAATATTTAATAAAATAATATATGGGGGAACGGGGCTCGAACACGGGACCTTTCGGTGATTAGCCGAAGATCCTACCTCGGGTCTGTGACCTAACCATAACTGTAACTGTTCACTTAGCTGGACAATACTTTCGGTATGTAACTGATAATTATTTATAAAATATGTTTATATATTACCACGCTCTCATTCATACATTGAGAAACCCAAGTTACAACACATCTTTTTATCAGAAAAACCTCTATACATTTATTCCACTCTATCATTCTATTGTATCACTTTATTTAATATACAGTACATGTATACAATGTATCAATATTTCATTTAGATGTATCACCGTATAACCTGCCTACATAGGTTCCCTGTCTATACCGGCTATGACATTTGGTCCAAGCATTTCCTCTCTTAAATTATGGTTAGTCCACCATGTCTTATTCGGACCCTATTTATTTGGAAACAGACGTCATTGTTACATGTAATACACCCTGTTCATTTCGGTCTCCCTATTTGTCTTCTGTCATCCATGTTTTTCAGGCGTAAAATATGCCATCTGTTGCATTTTATTGTACATTATTATAAATATTTATACATTACAATTGAAGTAGTTCTTTATTTCCTGTTCTTAAAATCCAGTGCTACATTTCAAGTATATTCACTTACATACATATATTTTCAAAATGTTGATACCCCCCAAAAAGGACTATGTGTAAACCGGCCCTGTTTTAACCGGCCATATACTTTGGTCCCAGTCATATCCGGTTTAGACAGGTTATACTGTATCTCTTATTCAAACAGATACATTTTTAATAACTTGATTTTTATAATTAAAACGGTTATTCATAGTGGTCGAGCCGTGATGTAAGTCGGTTACCGACCTCGTAGTCGGTGTTCTCGCGTAGGAACGACCTGCACCCGTGCGGGTAACACCTTGCGCCCCGCGCTCGGTGTCACGTTCCGCACGGGCACAGGTCGTTCCTACGCGAGAACACCTCCTACTCGGTCGGTAACCATTACTTAGTGCAGTGAACCTAGTACACATGGGGTACATGGTTACATGGGTTACACACTCCCCCTGATGAAAGCCTCCTGGCGCTACATAAAATCATATTAACATTTATTACATAGGTTATTGATTATATGAAAACCTGTTGCCTCACTACCCACAAGATTTCATTAAACAGTAATAACACGACCAGAATTACGATTTATGGACTATACAGATATAGAATGTACCAAAAAATGGGTAGATTTATTAACAAAGATCTTCCGCAATTATGGTAAGGAATATGATTATATACATATATTATCTTGTATAATATAGGTCACCTTCACAGGTGATCTATCCACACCAGTGAATACAAGTTCACTATATAGGACATCTACAGGCACATAACGCTGCATACGAGTTGGTCCAAATAGACATCCTCTACACCTGATCCATTAATTGTAGATAATGATGATACATGCTTCTGCAAGCAACGGGTTTTCTGATCAACGAACTGAATGGTTTGACCAATCCATACCAATCCAGCACGTTTATCCAAACACATTGATGATATGATGGTAAAACAATACTGGATGATATGTATAAAACATTATATTAATAATTATATTTGTAATGACATTTCTCGTCACCTGTTTAGGTCGTCCCTGAGGTTTGGCCTATCCATACCATCAAGGCTATAGACCATCACAGATCACGTTAAAAATACTTTAAAATACCTCGAGGAATCACCTCGACATATGCTAAAAACAATGATATGGATTTAAAAAAACTAGTGTTCGGTGTTGATACAACGTTTGACAGGTTTACATCAGACTTTTGAATGACTTTGCAGGAGAAAAACCCATTGCCCATACAGATCAGGTGGTTTACGTACACGTCCTGTACGTCTAGGTTCTTGAACTTCAGGACTACCTGGATACGTCTGATGAGAGCTAGGTGAGCTCAAATCAAGGCTTGGCACAGACTCCCGCTCTCACATAGAATTATGAAGCCCTGACTCAGGCTCATGCACACTGGAGTCCCCTGTAGACTCCAGTAACTCAACTAAGTCAGAACTTTGACCCAGCTCACTCTCAGTGATAATGGTAATTGGTTCGTATCGAGTCAACGGTGTCTCATGTGCAGGGGTTATTCTTTTCGTCCTGCGTCGCGTGGAACGCCTCGGGTTATTAGAGGGTGGTAACTCGGTCTCCATATTGGAGTCCGAAGATGAAGATGAGGTTTCAGAGTCTGTCTGAGCGACACAAACTGTCCGTTTCTCACGTCTGTCTTTGCGGTCAGACGCTGTAGGGGGAACCTCCACCGGAATGGAGTTGAAGGGAAGCAACATGTTTCTATGCAGGGTACGTTTTCGTCCCCTTGTACCATCATGTGCAACTTCATACACAGGAATATCACTGTTGGGGATGTTAATCACCACACAGGGTTCCTGTTCCCACCT